TGTTTAGGTGTTCCAAAAATAATTGGAGTGATGACTCATCTCCATTCCAGATAAAGAAAATGTCATCAATGTAGCGGCGATAGGCTACCAGATTCGCACTCCATTCTGGGAACCCAGAGTGATCTTTGTGGTGGTAGTACATCTACGAAGTTCACACTCTTTTTTCAGCTATTTCTCAATTGACTATATTTACCTACAATTTTCTTGCTGATTGTCAATAATTACCAGGTTAGTTAATAACAGTATTATTTATACAAATTCATGAAAATCAGCTGATTCATTTAGGTTAAATTATTGAGCCAGGAGGGGCGGAGCCTGGCTGTGGAGCTGATCAGACGTGTGCAGCATGAGCTCCCGTCTGAATTCTTACTTTAAGCAAAATAAACCCGGCTCCCAAGCTACAAAATCACCCAGAATTGCACCACCTGAGTAGGGGATACAAGGGAGACCACAACAAGACTACTCTCACAATGCTGAGCCACCGGGAATGCGGGCTGCACCAATAGGGCCTACTGCAACGACAACCTGCCTGATTTGCGGCCTAGGCGGGGGTTTCGGGCACGGGTGAAGCGGCCGATCACCCGGACTGGAGCTCCCCAAAAGCAGAGGCCAAAGCTGCGGAGGACCACCCACGAGTCTCCCTCCCCCCCCCCCTGCCGGTGAGGGATATCCCGGCACCAACAGCCTATTTACCGCAGACACTCATGTCCCAGAGGCTGCTAGCACCAGGAGTCACCAACTCCAAAATGGCGGTTGCCACGCGTCAGTCAGCAAGCATGGGGGCAGGTGGGGAGCCGGCGAATAACTCTCTGACAAAGCTTGATGACATTTTTGCTGCCTTTTGGGCCAGGATGTCGGAGAGGATGCTGAACAAAACACCAGCTAAGCGGACCACTCCTGCACTCACACCCCCGACCCTCTCATGCTCCAAGGGCGGATTCAGAATGATAACCGCTAACAGTGCCCCAAAAAGGCGCCGACAACGGGACCAGCAGCACAGACAGAAACGAAAAGCCTGTCCTATATCCAGCACCCACACTCACCTCAAGCCACCACGACGCCGCACAGGACCAGAGGCACCCTGCCCATCAGGACAGCGCCCACTACCTGACAAAGCAAACCTCCGCCACTACAGGCCGGATGCCTGGCACTTAGCCACATATATGCCTTTGACACTCCAGGCGACAGGGGCTCTCGGGAACTGCGCTTGGCGCCCAGAAGGGATCGGATGATCACAGGCTGGAGACTGGAGCCTGCCAGGCATATCTTGTTATAGCTGGACTTTCACACCATGTCCCTTAACACAAGAACTGCTCTCTGCATACTAGCTAAACGTAAAGTAAACGTCTTTATTCTATCAGTAATCCATCCCTTGCAGAGTTTTTGCCGTTGTCTCTCATATGTGTTTACCTTAACTGCTCACACATTATTTTACTTACTAGTCCTACCTGGCAACCCAAGCTTGTATAAAACTAGAAGTGAAACTGTTGGTTTAATTTTACATTTAAAAACGTGCAGCCAGTGCCTTAAGCAAAATGCTCCCATTATTACCAATGCACCGTTACACACTCACAATCTTAAGAGCAACTAGCTTTGTCACATGTCTATCTAGCCTAACATGTTATTTTATAAAATACTGATGTCTAATAGCCTGTTATCTTCGTGTTATACAAAAAATGTGCTGTCTAAACTGCCACACTTTGTAAAGTTATGAAAATGCCTGTGGAGGCTGTTGTGGCCCTGCACGCTTGTTGTTAATCCTTGCACAAGAAAAATAAAGAATTAAAAAAAAAAAAATAATTATTGAGCCAGTGTATTAAATCACAAATTGGACTACATACATAAACAAAAACAAAAAATACAATTAATAGAAAAGGAGTAGTAAAAAACAAAATTCATAACATTCAACTGTTGAATATTATTTGAGCAACAGAATTACAAAACCGTAGCACAACTATCATGCATATTCTTTAATGGGCAAACCTGCAATCAAAATGTGAACTTCTGTCATTCTTACCCCTGCAATGCCGGCCGTACCCACCCAACCGAGCGATGACTTCTATTACTATGAAACTGGCTTTAATGATTCTCAACTTCTCGGAAAGCATCGTCAATACAGCACACCTGGAGGAACGCTTCACCCCCTATTTTTATGGTGCCTTTATGATAATGATTGGTTTTAATTAGTGATGTCCCGAACGGTTTGCCGAACGGTTCGCGAACAGTTCGCCACGAACGGTTCGCCATGGACTCATCATTGAGTAAACTTTGACCCTGTACCTCACAGTCAGCAGACACATTCCAGCCAATCAGCAGCAGACCCTCCCTCCCAAACCCTCCCACGTCCTGGACAGCTCACTAAGAATGCAGCTTCACAATGAATGTAAAATGGATGCTGTCCAGGAGGTGGGAGGGTCTGGGAGGGAGGGTCTGCTGCTGATTGGCTGGAATGTGTCTGCTGACTGTGAGGTACAGGGTCAAAGTTTACTCAATGATGAGTCCGTGGCGAACCGTTCACGGCGAACCGTTCGGGACATCACTAGTTTTAATATATGTTTTGTAACATATATTTCTCCTTGTTATATATTATAGTATAGTATTTCCTCATAGTTCCTTTAAGAGAACACACTGTTCTTCAAACACGTTTTATTATAAGCCTTGCAAGTTATGAAATTATATATTTCTGCAATTTCCATATGATGCAACTTCATAGGATTTGCACATATAATGTGATTCAAAGGTAGTTTACCTAGATATATGATGACACTATTTTCAAAGGAAGTATCACATTTAAATTTCCCTACCTTGTGTTGTCCTCAATGTGTCTGCTTGGAATGTTTTCCTGAATGAGGATGAGTGTTCAATTAGCTGAATTTTTTTTTGCCTACTTTTTTTATTATTTTTTATTTATTATTATTTGTTATAATCTAGTAATAACCTTAGTTTAAAGGGACACTATAGGCACGCAGACAACTTAATCTCATTGAAGTGGTCTGGGTGCTGTACCTCTGTCCCCCTTAGTCCTTTAATGTGAAACATTACAGTTTCTCTAAAATTGCAATGTTTACATTGCAGCACTAAGGCAGCCACTAGAGGTGCTTCTGGGAGTTTACAAGACTCTGGGTCCAATAAACGACACTGGACGTCCTCACGCTCTGCATGAGGAGATCCAGCATCAGTGAAATCCCCATAGGAAAGCATTGGTTCAATGCTTTCCTATGGGCAGGCCCGGACTGGCCAACGGGCATTTGCCCGGTGGGTCGCGCCATCCAGGCCAACTCTTTAATAATGTGCAATTTAAAAACAAGTTTTGGCCGTCTTTCACTTTTGAAAGACGGCCATCTCGCTATTCGTAGTCCTGGGGGGCCGGCATTACTTACCTCATCATGCTCCGCCTACTGGGTAGGCTGAGAGGTGACATCGCGCAAGAGACCGCGTGATCTTGCAGCTCTCTGTCTGACACCACAGACAGGGAAGCAGTTAGTCTCAGGAGGACAGAGGCAAAATGGAAGCCAAGACCTCAGCCGGACACTAAGCAAATAAAAGGTGGGGGGCTGGGGCAGCAAAGTCCCAAGGGGGTCACTTAAAAGTCCCAAGGGGAGGGGGCCACTAAAAAGTCAAAGGTCCAAAGGGGCCACTTCAAAGATCCATGGGGGCCACACATCAAAGGGCTAAGGCGGGCCACACATGAGAGGCCTACGGGGGCCCACACATGAGAAGCCTAAGGGGAGTCACACATGAGAGGCCTAATGGAGGCCACACATGAGAGCAGGGCCGGTGTTAGGGGTGTGCGAGCTGTGTGGCCACACAGAGCGCCATGGAGCAGGGGGCGCCATGTGGCCGCACAGCTCACAAATGCCTGTGTGTGTATGGCTGCCTGCCTGTGTGTGTTTGTGTGGCTGTCTGTCTGTGTGTGTGTGTGTGTGACTGCCTGCCTCTGTGTGTGTGACTGCCTGCCTCTGTGTGTGTGATTGCCTGCCTCTATGTGTGTATGGCCATCTGCCTCTGTGTGTGTTTGTGTGTGACTGCCTGCCTCTGTGTGTGACTGTCTGCCTGTGTGTGACTGTCTGCCTGTGTGTGTGTGTGTGTGTGTGACTGTTTGTCTGTGTGTGACTGTCTGTGTGTGTGACTGCCTGCCTGTGTGGGTGTGGATGTCTTCCAAATATCACATACAACCAATACACGCATATCTCACACAGTTAATACACCCATTACAGATATCACACACACCCAACACATAGCATACATATCACACACAGACATCACACCTATCACATACACAGACATCACAAGCATTACATCATACATGGATGACAGGGGGGGCGCTGTGAAGATTTTTCGCACAGGGCACCTAAAGGCCTAAGGCCGGCCCTGCATGAGCGGCCTAAGGTGGGCCACACATGAGAGGCCTAAGGGAGGCCACACATGAGAGGTCTAAGGGTTGGCCACACATGAGCGGCCTAACGGTTGGCCACACATGAGAGGCCTAAGGGGGCTACACATGAGAGGCCTAAGGGGGCACACATCAAAGGTCCAAAGGGGCCACTTCAAAGTTCCAAGGGGGCCACATGTGAGAGGCCCGAGGGGGCTACACTTGAGAGGCCCAAGGGGGGCCACATCAAAGGTCCAAGGGGGCCACATCAAGGTCCAAGAGGCACAGGCTCAGGGGCCACAATAAAGGCCTAAGGAGGCCACATCCCAGGCCCAAGGGGGCCATAGCCAAGGCCCAAGAGGCCACAATAAAGACCTAAGCAGGCCACAGCCAAAGAGTCCACAGCCCAGGCCCAAGGGGTTCACAGCTCAGACCCAAGAGGGCCACAGCTCAGGCCCAAAGGACTGCAGCCAAGCCGAGAGAAGGAGGCCCAGACGTGAGCAGTGGACCAACCAACTGCTTGCCAGTGGCCTGCCTTAATCCACCAGCCACACTGGTCTGTTCAACTTGCCACCAGCAACTCAGCTGCAAAGGAAATATATTTTATTTGATAAAAGGTTTTAAGAAGAATCTTTGTGAAAAATAGAAGTGGTATAAAATATAATGATAACCACTAGTAAGTCCAGTGCATGCAGTTAAGCAGTAAGTGGGTGAAAAAGTGTTATCTTTCCGTTGGAGCAGCTGAACCCTTCCGTTGGAGCAGCTGAACAGGATCTCCCCTGTCGGCTCATGCAGAGCCGGCACTATCCAAGCGCCGGCTCTGCTCTCAGCCTCCTTCCCCACCGACCCACATGCAGAGAGGGAGGCAGGAGAGGACCCGGGGAGCTACTGCCAGCAGCTCCGCCGGGCTCCTCTTACGAAATCTGAGCGTTGCCACGGCAACACTCAGATCTCACGAGAGTGAACTCTAGCCCTGCAGGCTAGAGTTCACTCACCACTGGACCACTAGGGATGGCAGAAAGGATCCCCCCTCCCAGGCATAACGTGAGAAGGGAGGGGGATATTAAGTAATCTGCCCCCACCTCCACTGGACCACCAGGGAAGGCAGCAACAAGAATCCCCCCTCCCTACATAAAGTAAGAAGGGAGGGGGGATATTAAGTAATGTACCTCCACCTCCACCCCCCACAATCACCCACACACATACACAGCACCAACACACATACAGCAACTACACACATACAGCACCCACAGACATACACAGCACCTACACACATACAGCACCCACACACATACAGCACTCACAGACATACACAGCACCTACACACATACAGCACCCACACACATACAGCACCCTCACAAGCGCGCACGCACAAACACCCTCACCCACATAGCACACTACAAGCACCCTCACACACACTAACAGCACCCTCACACAGCAGCGTATTTGTGTGTGTATATATGTGTATATATACGCGGCGTATGCTTGTGCTTTAGGGTGCACACCCTAATGCAATAGGCTGCGCACGCCTATTGACGCAAGTCAAGATGGGCGGAGAGAGATCAGGAGAGGACATTCAGATAGAAATGATAATGGAAGCCAAAGGAGCTGATGAGTTTACCAAAGGAGGCAGTGTCGATAGAGAACAGTGTCGATAGGGGACCAAGGACAGTACCTTGGGGGATGCTGACAGAGAGTGGTTGGGGGAAAGAGGCAGAGTCAGAGAAAGAAACACTGAAAGAGCGCTGGAAGAGGTAGGAGGAGCACAAGGAGAGAGCAGTATCCCGTAGACCAAAATTACGGAGAATGCGAAGATGATGTTGATGATCAACATTGTCAAAGGCAGCAGAAAGATCAAGG